ATCGACGTTTCCCGTCGATAGAAACGTCAAGGCGTGCGTGTAAAATAGAAACATACCTGGCAAAGCTCATCCAGTTTATCGTTCCAGACGTTTCTCTGGCAAGTTGCAACAACATAGTCTTTGCATTCGTAAAACAGCTTTGATAAATTCTCATCAGCAGAGAGCTTGTCCTCGGCTAATACAAATCCCAAACCAAGCTGAAACATTACGTATTTGAAATATTTAGCATTACGAAGAATTAATGGTAAAAATAATGACATGCACCTTACAAATAAGAAAAATTACTACTATTCTTGTCCCATGTTAGTAGAATTCGCGTGTGAATGTTGGATGCGAGTACGTGTATGATGCAGATATATTCATTTTTCTTCCAAGTTTTTCTATGTATTTGTAGACCCTTAGACAGTCCTATCCATATGCATCGGACATGCATTTCAAGAAGAAGAAAAAGCTACATCGCCACTTGAGTACATGTGTTCAACACTTGAGTTCAATGCATATCTTGACATGGGAATGGGATCTGATCATTTAAAGACCCAACATCAAAAGATTTTTTAAAATATGAGCATACACCTACCAAACACACCTATATCCGACACTCACACTCAAATTCGAGGAACTTAACTGTCAAATCATGTTACAGAAACAAAGTAACTGAACAGCAGATTGGGAATAAGAGATAATAAATAAAGAAAAGACCATCTCTAACTAGGTTAAAGCACTTACAAGAGAAAGAAACAGTTGTTGAAAAAGATCAGTAACCGGAATGTTCTCGAAGAAGTTCAGGATACCCTCCCTAATGCAACCATAAAACATGACATTCTTGTAAAAACAATGATCCCATCGTGGAAAATTTAAGAGTTGTAACATAAAAATTTGTGAGTCCAACTTACACTGCCAAATCCTCATCATAGAGAGGTGTTTGATTAATGGCAGGTACGGGTTTGGATGTCTCCCATAGTTCACGCCACAAGTTACCTAACAAATATACAATATTCACATATTCCATTGTGCAATCAACGAATCTATGTTCTCTCCTCAATAGTAAGACCTAACAAAGAAGGAACTAAAATGAAACTGGGATAACAAGAAAAACCTTCTTTTTGCATTCTACTACTTAGTTGACCTCTTCTACTCGTATCCTCATTGCTTGGCTCAGTTTCAATCCAATCAGGAGGAGAGTGCCATCTAACAAAATCTTCTAAAACACAGCCAGGATTTGCAGCCTAACAAAATTGTTATAGGAAAAAGATTAAGCATTGAAGGTTGAAAGAAGTTTGTCTTGCATCCATATTTACCTACAATAGTAGTAAGATAGATGATATATCTTTGCGCTAAAATATCACCTTGAAAGCCTGCATATCAGAGAGGAGCCGAGAGCACCCAGCGCCAACACTAACCCACAAAAGATAAGGCAAATGAGTAAAAGAAGAATAACAAGAATAATGTAACTACAGAGAGTATCAAGATTACCGGACACAAAAAGCTGTGATTCGTACAAAAGGTAGAGGGAAAAGATATAGAATAATTATAAAAATTCAACATAAATAACAGCATCATATAGGTTGATCCTGTAAGTAAACAACATTTGTTTTAAATTAAAACGGGAAAGCTTAGTCTACATTAAGATTTAAGAATAAACCTTATGCAATAAACAGATTAAGATGATCATCAAAAGAAAATAGTATCAGTAAGAGTTCTATAACGTTAAATAATGTGCAAAGAGGCTATGGAGTTTTTAGTCAATATACTGACCTCCCTGTCCGAAGCACTAACTCCTCTGTTTCTCTGATAAGCTCTTCTGTAAGCAAAGGTCCTTCCTACAGAATTACAAAAACACACTAAAGCAGGGGAATATGCTTGAAAGGTTGGTAATCTACTGGCAGAATTTGCAACCAAACCTGGGTAATAGGTGAGTATATCGGTTCACCAGTTTCCAACATTGTTAAATTTTCAATCAGTTGATTAGCTCCCTGCCGAAGAACAAGTTCCCTAGTCTTAACTCGTGCACAGAATGCAGAGCTCACAGACATTGTGCCCATAGAAGCATCTGATTCTTTAACACTTGAACTAGCTTCCATCATTTCAGAAGCAAATGATTTAGCTGCAATATCTTGCCGTCTTTTTCTTGATAGACAACAGTTAAAAACCTGTAATTGTTGATATAAAAGACATGAATCTAGATCTGGAATCTCATTCACAGGAATGCCAGCCAGATGTCTTTCGTTGGACCAAAATCTTCTCAGCTGCATGTGTAAAGGATTCCAAAAACTTTTCATCAGATGAAGATCAACATTATGTAAAGCAAAGCAAACAAACTCTCAATGCATTAACATGTGAAAAATGAAGGATTTTGATTTACTCAAAAGATAATTTGTCGCATGAAAAAATTGCAAATACAATGATACACACTCTAGGTTGACCATGTTGTTATGCTAGAAGCGGTTATTATGATCTTATGAAACCATGGTACCTTGAACTTCATTAGCTAAGTTCTGATAACAGTTTTATTAAGACAAAAAAATTACAATTGTAAACTCAGTGAGGTTTTATTTCAGCATTGATCATTTGTGTTAATTCAGATAAAGTAAGGAATACCCCACTTACTTCTGTAACAACCCTGCACCAAAAGAGTGCCATCTTGCTTACGCTTCTAAAACTTCCAATTACTTCAGAAAGCTTAACAACAAAGCTCTGTGGAGGAGCACCATGAATGTCTTTAACAAAAGATATCTTTGGTGTAGACCGTTCTGAATCAGATACAAGCTTCCTTTGGAGGAATTTTCCATCTGCAGATATTACGATGAAAGTGAAAGACCATCACAAGAAAATGCTGAAGTTATAAGAAGAAACATATCACCCAGAAAGATCACATGTCTCATTAGCAACATATATGAATCTACCTGCATCAAACAGTGCACGAATCAAATCAAGGACTCTCTCATCATCACCAAAGCCATAATCAAGTTTATCCTCTTTCTCGCGGATAACGAACGACTTGACTGCAGACAAGCTCAAAGCCTGCCTTTTCCTTTCTGGGTGAAGAACTTCCAAAAGATGCCAAAAGATCTTTCAACCGTCTAAAATTGTTTCCAGCCCTGGGACCAGAAGGAAAGTACAGAAATATAAGAACACCATGTACAAGCTGAAATATGATTAGTCAAACGATCACACATTTGACCAGTTAGCATTAGCTCAGAAGCAAACACACATTTTTTCTAAAAAGATCAAACCATGGCCATCACTTTAACAAAACAGTGTCAATACCAGAAAGTAAATCCCAATAAAGCTAATCAATTCAAAAATCAGCACGTTTAATGAGGCATCCTACAATTTTTTTTATATTGACAAGAGCAGATAAAGAAAAAAATCTGAATTCAAGTATTCCCAGCAAATTTATTGCAAAAACTTACTCAATAGCTACAGCCAATTGTTTGATGACAGATGATGTAGGAATGCTTTCCGTGTAGGTATTTAGAACGTCTACGGAAGGAATTGCTTCTAACAACTGAAGGAAAACAATCTCAGCAGCAAATTAAAATTTTAACCCATGAGAGTGATCAGGAACTGTGGAAGAGAAAAATAAGCAGAATCACAAATGTACCTTTGCTTCCATGTCATTCTTCATGTTGAGCAAATATATATGTTTTCATCGTAGAATGGAACAGCCATTATTGAAATTTCAACCTTCTTGGAATCTTCAATTCCTTTTCTCCCTATTCCTATATTTCTAAACCTTTCCTGCCATTCCTGTTTTGTCCCTAAATTTGTGGGCTTCCACCTAGAATGCTTTGCCTCGTGAAAATTCTGCGTAATACCACACAAAATTTAAAACTAAAATAAGTAAACACGGACTGAGAAAAGAAAGTCATATCAAATGAATTTAGAGGGGAAAGAAGGCAAACAAAACTTTTTAAAAAATTGTAGAATAGTTAATAAATAATCAGCAGAACTTTGAAGCATTTTATGGCTCGCTTATTTGCGGAGAAGGTGCAGGAGAGCTATATATATATATATATAGTTCCATTTGAAATGAAAAAAGCTAAACTCTTCGAAGTCGATACTTAAATTCACAACGAGACTAGAAAAAACTGTTCTACAATTTACTTCATTTTCTCAGCAACCAAACAAAGAAGTGCATTATATCTTAATCCCAATGACCTTCTATTTTTATTTTATTTTTAAAAAGGTCATGATCCTTCGCTTCTTCTCAAGAGAAATTACCTTATACTCGCCTTCGTTCCTAAGAGATTCGTTCTTGAATTCCTTGGACGATAATTTATCAGAATCTTCACGAAAAGGATAAGAAAAAATAAAGAAAAAAATCAAATTCCCGTTATAAATATTTACATTAATCTCCTTAAAACCGGACATTTAAAAAAATCTAAAATTAGAAAAGCGAAAATAAAATTAGCGATGAATATTAACTGCCAAAAATATAGTGGATAATTTTTTTACCTAAATCGGATTTTAAATCAGTGAAAACTCGCTCGGCTTTGGCAGCTGCGGAGTTGAAAGCGGTTCTTGCTTTGGATACAAATGAAGGAGCCTCCATGTCGTGCGCACGTTAAGATTTGGAGCGTTGAGGGGAGAAAGGAAATGAAAGTAGTTAAAATTGGAGGGGCCAGAAGGACGGCATTTGCAGGCAAAGCGGGAGATCTGTTTGGATGGAGAAGAAAGATAGTGGAAATGGAAGGATTTTGAAAAATAAGAATAAAATATTAAATAACATTTATGCGCATATAAAATTTAATTTTGGTTTTGTTTTATATTTGAGGTATGATGATGATTTTTATGTAACTTGTCGTTAACCGCGGCTTAGATTGTATATTAAATTTTGACTTCATTATAGAATTTTGATTCAACTTATGGATAAGATTTAGAGAGTGGAATTTGCTAATAAGTATAATAAAATGATAAAAAAAACTTAATATATAAATTTGGTCCCTAAAATATATAATTTTTCAAAAAAATAAAAAAATATAAATTGAAATAAAATCAACAATTCAAACAAGTATTTTTCTAAAGAAATTATTTTTTAAATAGGCATAACTCCAATAAAAAAAATTAAGAATGTCAAACTAAAAATTTTCAACCATAAGAGAATATCAAACAAGGATTGATCAACCTCGATTAATGATATATTAATACTAATAAGAAATAAACAATTATTTAAATAACTTTTAAATAATTTTGAGGCTTAACGATAATGCATGATATGATCTCTAAATTATTTCATTTTCTTTTATTCAGATTTATTTATTTTTTATGTGTGGTACCACGTGACACATTTTAATATATGTCACTTGTTAATTAAGCTTTTTAGAGACATTAATATTGGTAGGGATTAATTTGAGAAAAAATAATAACATTAGGCTTTAATATGGGTCAAAGAATGATGAGAAAAACAATATATTTTAGAGATTAATTCATAAATACGAAAAAAAATTATAATCAAATATTTAATTTTGTTGAATTTGTAAGGATTCAAAAACGAACTATGGGTGTCCTCGTTAGAGTGTTGTCAATAAGTAACAAGTATTTTGAATAAATATTATATTATATTATAATCAACTTAAATTATTAAAAAATATAATTTTAAATTTATAAAATTGAATATTTATTGTTATAAAAATATGAATAAGAATAATTAATTTTTAACACTACCTCAATATTTTAAATGAAACGAAACTTTGGTATGTGAAGTAAAAGCAATTTGAATAGAGTTCGTCAAAGGATTTGGCGTAGTTTTTACTTGAAATGCTATTGTTCTTTATTCAAATGGCTTTCAAGAATTCAACTCCAAGTCTTGGGTCTCCTAAGAGTTCAGACTTAAGACCGTTGATCTTGACTTGTCCAGCAACGTGGATAGACTTTTACAAATAAAAGATATTTAAAATTCATTTTTTCTATTTTAATTATTAATATATTTAGATTCCAAATATAAGTATCATTCTTGCATTGAATATTAATTAAACTTTTTTTTTATAATTATGGATTTTTTTTTAGTACAATGAAAGCTCTCAAGCTATTGCGTCGTCAGGATACCTTGAGCATCCTTGTTGAAATGCTCTTGAATCCCCTATAGGCGGTTCAGAATGCATAAGGAAACTAGCAGAAAGCCCCAGGCCAAAGCAACCAAACCATCGGCCACCCGGTTACCCTCCCTAGGCACGTAGTTGAACTATAGTCACCAATCTTGATGAACGAGAGCATAAATGTGCGGAACCATTGCCGAAATACTATCAAAACTTTCAGGCAGGAACAAACAAATGATTTTATGTTAGGAGGGATGGATTTATAAAATTTTAAATATAGGTAAACTTATAAAATTTTAGAGGGGTTGAATACATATTTTCAATATAAATTACAAAGAAAATATCTAAAATATATAAGAATTTAAAAAATTTAGTGATACAGATCACTCTCACCCACCCTCCCTCTGGGTCAATATCCCTGAATTCAGGCTTACATTGGAGAACATAGATCGCCTTCTTGCTATCAGTTTCAACGATAATCTTCCGAAAATTTCTCTCCCAAGCAAACTGCAACCCCATATAAATACCCTATAATTCTGCATTAATCACCGAACAAACTCCAATGCACTTCGAAAAACTTATAATCCAATTGCCTAGGACGTTTCGGACAACGCCTCCACATGATGCCAAACCAGTTGAAGCTTGCCTCGCACCATCAGTACTTAGTTTAAGACAGCTATCCGGTGGAGCTAGCCACCCAATGTCTCACTTCAAACGTGGATGACGGACAGCCCTCAAGTTCTTTTTTATGATAGCAGCAGCCGCTTCCCTTGTGAGGTGTAAACTGTGCCTATATTCATTGAATATATTTAAATTCTTTCATTGATTGATTAATTTATCTCATTCTCCACTTCTTGTTTCCTAAATCTCTAGCCTTCGGAGCACCGTTGCCTATATTCATATCGATGAATACCTTAATGGTAAAACCATTACCCATCCATCAACCTACCGTTTCCTTTCTCAACTGCTGCTTTCGTCTCCGATAGATTCCTAAACCTTACGAACATAAATGTCATTGGCTTGAGTTTCCTTTCCGGATTCTTTTGTGCTATGAAGACATCTAAAACTGATCCATACACCTGAAATGCTTCTCTTAATGTCGAATGGTGGATCCTCTTACTAACATTGTCTACAAACACCGCAAAACCCAGCCGGCGACGGTTCCCTGTTCCTCTCTCTCCACTCTTGTTTCTACAGTAGTGTAAATGTTAGTCACTAAAAAAAATTTTAGAATTGAATTTGAGCAACAAATTATATTGTATATTTTTCTAATAAATTACAATAAATATTAAAATTAACGGGATGAATCATTCAGGAATGAATGAGTTTGCTGGTCATACCCAGGGTTATAAATTAGTTGGGTTGAGTTTGAGTATTATTGAGTTCGACTCAACTTGAAAAGTTTAAAATTAAGATTGATTCGACTCGAAAACTCATGAATTTAAAATTATTAAACTCGACTTGAATTCGAAATAAAAAGGTGATGCTCGACTCAACTCAAAAGCTCGTAAGTTTAAAATTTTCAAGGTCAACTCGAGGTATAAAAAAGCTCGAACTCGAAACATTCTTAAATTTAGTTTAGAAGCTCAAACTTGACCTTAAATACATGAAAGCTTTTATATTGTATTTAAAAATATATAATTGTTAATATTATTAATAATTTTATTTTAAAAATTTAATAAATTATTTTTTAAATTTGTTCGTAAGCTTTTCAAATCGTATATCGAGTTCATTTTACAACCCTATTCATACCAATTGAACCGAGTTAACAATTTTAGGAAACTGATATGGGCTTAAACTCAAAACAAAAGTCCTATTTTCTCCGCATGAGTTGGAATAACAATGGGCTTGATCTGGATAATTTGAGTTGTTGTACATTACATTGAAATGATACAAGATAATTATAAGATATTATTTGTTCATAATTTTTCTTTAATCAATAATAATGTATACATGCTTGCAGATATAGTTACTTGAACCCGATATTTTAAGGGAAAACAACACTCTCTTTAACCACTAAGGTCAGTTTATAAATTTAGAATAACAATTATTTTTAAATACAAAATTTTAAATATCACATTTAATGATAATTCATATCTCATTTTACATGAGATTATATTTAATGATACATATCGCTTTTAGAATATATCAAAAATATTTAAAATAAAACATTATTTAGTAAATAGATATACCAATAGTTAAACTTTAGTTTTTTTAAATGTACCTATATTTATAATTTATGCAATAAAAATTTATTTACGTTGTTCATATTTTAAATGTACCTATATTTAGTAAATAAATATACCTATAATAATTTGATACATTTTTTAATAGTATAAGGTGATTATAATATAGTATAGGTTTAAAATTTTCTTAATCAATTTACAATGCACACACTCCATGTAGATACAATTGTTCGAACCCATAACTTATAAGAAGAACAATATTTTCTAAATATAGGTACATTTAAAATAAAACATTATTTAGAAAACATTACCCAAATTTCGTTGAATCTTCCACGTCAAACATGAACAATAAAATCCAGCTTGAAACAAGCATCAATCGGACATATACATTACTCAGGCTGTTCACATTATATATATATATATATATATATATATATATATATGTGAAATTTTAAATTTATATGAGGTCAGATTTCAGATAATTGGGTTTAAGACTCAATTTAAATCGAAGTTTTGGGCTGAGGTTTAAATGAACGAATCTGATTGTTGATGTAACCATTTTGCGCACAGTTAAAAAAATATGTTATCGGTTTTATTATTATTTTTTAATAAAATCGATAAAATATTATCGGAAACATTATTATTTTTATTGATTTTGTTATTATTTGATGTTTTACCGATTTTGTTAACATATAAGATAAAGTACAATCGGTTTTATTATTTTTTCTACTAATTCTATTCTTACTGGACATTTTATCGAAAATATTAAAAGACATTAATATCTTACATAAAAATAATAATATTTTAGAAATTTTTTTATCAATTTTGCTTAAAAATAATAATAAAATTAATAATATATTTCTTTAACCATATATTAATACTATCGTTAAGTAAATTTCACCGGTTTTGTGTGTGGGATTCGTGATGGAACAGAAAAGCAGGCATGGTCCCACCAATTGTGGACATGGTTGCGCCGTGGATGTCTCTATTGGCTAGCCACACTTTCCAGGTCAATGGTTGAGCCAGCTTTCCAAAAAAAAAAAAAAATCGTTCAACGTTTACATAACAATAATATGATAAATTACATAAAATAAATATAAATATAATATGAATAAAATAAAACATAAAAATAATACAAACATGTTATACCAATTTTAACTTCAAAATCACATATATATAATATTTTTATTTTTTTCTTTAAAAATGGATTTTTAAAACTAAAATTTTCGCATTAAATGAGAATATGTATATAAACGCATATCTTTTCTTATCCTTAAAAATCAACTCTATATTAAATAATTTTAAAAGAATGCTATAAAGCATCAACCGTATTTATTCCATAAGGAATGGCGAGCAATGCTAACAAACAAATTGTAGTATAGTTTGCTCCAAGAATTTGTTGAAACCTAACTGAAAAGATAATATATGAAGATATATATATATATTTTTAGTTAGATTTCACTTTGCGTTGTGAATTGATTATTATCTTATAGTCATCCTAAACTATTAAAAAATAAAGTCTTGAATATACTTTGAAAATATATAAAAATTATAAAGTTTTTTTAATATAAAACAAAGGATGATGTTGCTACACTCGATGAGCACGAATGAGTATCGTTAATGATGAACATTATTAAATTAATTTATAAAACATTAAATTACAAAGTACTAAACATATAATTATAAATTAGTTAAAAATATAAGTGCAATTTAATTAAAATACAATATTTATAAAAATATTAGTTTTTAGGGTAAACTATACTATTGCCCACTTAACTATTTACTCATTTTACTTTAACCATCGATTTTTTAATTTTGTTAATCGGTTCACGTAACTATTTAAATATTGTCAATCAAGCCAACCGACGTTAAATATTAACGGAGCAGATGATGTGACAGTTAATAAAATTTGTATAATTATACATTTAGTCCTCATTACTTACACCTTACACATTCTATTAATATGGTCATAACATTTATTTAATTCAATAAATTTAATCCTCAATCCGACGGTGACATGGGTCACTATATGATTGGATGTTTTTAAATATTTTTTATTTAATAAAATTTCCATTCAATCAAATGGTGCCACATGTCACCAATTGAATGAATGAAAAATAAATTAAATCAATAATCGCTGCTGGTGGGGTTTGAACTTGGAACGCAAACAAAAAAATTGAATACCCTAACCACTAAGGTAGACCATTAAATTTGTTTAGTATACAGAACATAATTTATATAATTTATAATATAGTCAATGGTAATAAATGACTTTATAAAGTCTCAAACATGAAATAATTGAATAGTATAAAAATATATAATATATATAAACAACTATTATGATTGATTAACAAATGAATATGTTTTATTTACATTTTAAATCACACTTAATGCAAAAATTAAAATAAAAGTGAATTTAATATGTTATAATTGAAATGTATCATTTTACATATTTTAAATTAATAAATTGTCTTCGTTATTATAATTTTATTGAATTGAAATGTATCATATCTTATATTTTAAAATATTATAATATCGATCGAATTCTAATCTTATTTAACATCCCTATATTAAAATAGACTAATACAATGAAATCAATTTTTCCCTAAAATTTTCTTCAAATATATAATAAATAAATAATAAAATATAACATCCTTACTCTAATAGGGATATAAACAAGTCAATACATAAGTTAAAATGCTTACTATGATAAGCCTCAACCATCAGGAAAATTCTATGTCAATGAAGTTCTTCGTATATTAAAATTATTTTTTACTTTTTATTAAAATGATTTAAAATATAAATAAAATACATTCACATATTAATCAGTTATAATATTTGTGTGTGTATATCATATTATCGAATTATTCAAATTTTCAATTATTTCATGTTCGAGTTTTTATTATGTTATTTTCCCTTTTTTTATTGCCATTAACTATATATATTATGTCATGACAAGTTTGTTATTTGAATGGTGTAACCCATTGGTTGGGCGTTTACTTCATTTCTTCACATCTTAAGTTCAAACCCCACCAGCAACGATCATTGATTGAATTTATTTTCTTTTCATTCGATTGGTGACACGTGACACCATTTGATTGGATGAAAATTTTATTAAATTAAATAAAAATATTAAGAAAAAATCTAATCACATAGTGAGACATGTCACCATCTGGTTGAGGATTAAATTTATTGAATTAATCAAAGTTAGGGTCAAATTAATAGAATCTGTAAGTAATGAAGACTAAATATGTAATTACATAAATTTTATTAACTTCCACATCATCTCCTCTGTTAATATTTAACGATAGGTGGCTTGATTGATAATATTTAAATAGTTAGGTGACCCGATTGATAAAACTGAAAAATCGGTGGTTAAAGTAAAAGGGGTAAATAGTTAGGTGGTCAATGATATAATTTACCCTAAAACTAGTTTTTATAAATAATGTATTTTACATTAATTACATTTAAAATTTTAACTAATTTATAATTCTATTTTTAGTACTTTATAATTTAAAGTTTTATAAATTAATTTAATGATGCCCATCATTATCGGTGCTCGTTATAGAATTTTTCTAAAACAAAGACTAAGAATTTTCCTATATTATAAGTTAGAGCATTTGAGTCTCTCTTAGAGATAAAAAAAAGTCCAAAGTGAGAAACAATGACATTTTTTAATTTTTTCAACATTTTAAATATTATATAAATCTTTAAATTTTTAAAGAATTCAACGCATCATAGATGGATATGTGTCCTGAATTAATGGAATAATTAACGAGGACTTCAATTATCCATGTTCGCACTCATTTTGGAACAGTAGTTAAATTGCTCTACTCATTATGAAAGGATTAAATAGATCCTGACCTTAGATTATAGGGGGGGTCTGACTTCTGAGTATGTATACCTTAATTTGTCTTACCACAGAGTTCTTAAGATTTAAACCCAAAAGCTTTGGTGGAATCCAACCAAAAAAAAACCGCCAAATGTCAACGCATACCTAAATTCAGATAAACTGACAAAAAATTTAATAAAAATCAACACTGTTACAGTTTACCTATTAAATTTAGGGGTGAAATTTAGATCGCGTTAATTTTATTGAAATTTTTTTAAATTAATTGAGTTCACGATAACATTTAAACTTTATTTGAATTTTATTATTTGAATTGAGATAAATTGAATATAGTTATTTGAGTTTTTTTCCCGAATTTAAATGTATTTATTTATAATATTATAGTACTGATTAGTTTCAATTTAAATGACTCTATCTAACCATATATATATATATATATTATCTTTTCACATGTACAAGTAACATTTATAATGTTATTTAATAAAATAAATACGATTTAAAATTATTTATTTAAAAGAATGTATTTTGAGTATGGAATATTTATGGGAGTATAAAAGAGTTAAGGAAATGATAGAAATAATTTGCAAAGAGTTTTAGTTAGAGTACTAAATTAAATAAAATGCAGAGTTGAGCAACTAAATTGTAAAAAGAAGAATTAAATTTTCACATATATTTTATTATGGTAGGTGAGCATGCAATTCAATTTTGGTTAAACATGTACTTAAAAAACATAAGTAATTGAATAAGCAAAGAAATTAATTCTCGAATCACAGAATAATCAAATTACTTAGTTAAAAACCATTAAAACATCGTTCAAATTTTTGGTTTTTTAATTATTCAAACTTTGCAGATTTAAGCTCAACTCAAAATCTATATTTGAACCATAAAATTAAATTAATTCGAATAAATTATAATTAAAAAATCATTTTATTTCAAATGCAATCAAATTTTTCATCCCTGTTTAAATCTAAAATCAAATTCACATTTGCTGCGGGGTTTCCTTTTTACTCGCTTAAGCCACCCCGTTGAATATTCTCCTCATGCCACTAATTTTCACACCATAAAAATTAAAATAGTATACAAGTTCACGGCATACCAAAATAAATATAATATAATATAAAATTAAATAATTTTATACATGTTACATAAATCATCAAGAATAAAATTAAATACTAAAATATATCTAAATTCATCGGTGACTAGAAAACTTTAATTTTGATGTTGAAATTTTGATTTTAGCCTCCCTGATTAACACTCAAGTATTTTAGAGAAAATACTCTTACTATTATAAAGATATAAAAAAATAAATAGTACATAATTTAAGATCATAATACTAATAAATAATCTAATAAATTAACTTTAATTTCTAATCAACTCACCATCAGTTAAAAATTAATTATTAATATATATGATCTATATTTTATTTAATTATTAAAGTTCGATTAGTTTAATTATATAAAATCATTTTAATATTAGTTAACTCTTTTATACTAATAAACTTATTATACATACATATATCATGTCCACAAAGATACGATAAAAACATAAAAAAATATTACAAAGTTTACCCACACCAAAAGTTTGATTCTGATTGATGCACGATGAAAAGGGTTATAATTTAATCTGAAATCGACGGATTTTGATCCGATGTAATTTAATAGTAAGATTTTTTATAGAAAAAAAGTTAAGGTTGGGTTGGGTCGGATTTTATATAAGGGTGAAGTTGGGTTGAGTTAGGTTCGAGTAAAGAGTAAAAAATCTCCGACTTGACCCGACTTTAGGGTAATATTGTAATTTTTTTTATATAAATTTACGAATAATTGCTATAATACTTCTCTCTCTATATATTTTTCTTTTTAAATTAGGTCCTTATTTTATATCGGGTTGGTCGGGTTGGGTTGGGTTTGGGTAGGGGCGGATACACTAAGCCCCCTAGGGATTAAGTGCATCCCCATTATTTAGGAAAAAAATTAAAATTTAGTATAATATGTTAAAGAAAAATGAAAAATAAAATAAAATTTTTTTACATCCCTATTATTTTTAAAAAAAGAAAATTAAAAGTTTAGACTTCATTTATAAATTTCTGGATCCGCCACTGGGTTTGGGTGGATGAAATTAGGGCTGAGCAACGAAACCGAGAAAACCGAAAAACCGACACGAACCGAGTAAAACGGTTCGGTTCGGTTTGGCTTTAAACGATTCGGTTTTCGGTTCGGTTTAAAGACTTCATTTTTTTGATTCGGTTCGGTTCGGGTTTTCCATATGGAACCCATTTATTCCATATTGATCCGAATAGGCAATTTTTGTAAAAAAATTATAGTTTCAAGTGATTTTTTTATTGAAAAACCGAAAAACCGAACCGAAAAACCCGAACCGTTAAAAAAACCGAACCGAACCAAAAAAACCGATTTCAGTTTTTTCGGTTTTTTAACTATTCGGTTTCGGTTTAAATATTGAAAACCCGTTTATTTCGGTTAGGTTCAATTTTTGGTAAAAAACCGAACCGAACCGAATACACCCCTAGATGAAATGTGCTCTTTAGGTTGGATTGAGTCAGGTGAAGGATATATATTTTCGGGTCGGGTTAAATTTGGGTGGAAATTATGTATATTTCGAACCGGATCAGACTGAACAAAAACCCAATCTAATCTGATCTATTGCCATCCCTAATTATAATTAAAATAGTTACATTCAAATCGATAATCACTGATGTGGGTTGAGCAATGAGTAATATAAATTAGTATTCTTAAATATTTGTTTCAAATTTTATAAATGAAAGAAAAATATGGAGTGTTTTTCCTTTAACTTTTGAGACGTGATCTAATTAATTTTAAAATAATTAAAAATCAATATGATTATTCCTTCCAATAAAATTGTTTCTAATAATGAGTTGGAAAAAAAAATCATGTAAAGTATAAAAAATTTATTATTTTTAATAAAGTTTTTGTTACAATATTTATTGAAAGTTGTCTGAATCATACATTTACTTTTAGAAGATATATGGATCGCTCTACGACTTTTGGAGCGTCACTCATCCATCTCTATTATTGTATATGCATTAAGGCGACTTCTAGAAGATTTATGGACTACTTAACAATTTTCGAAGGATCACCCGATTGTCTATCCATTATGATAAAAACAAGTTCAGTTTAGCCTAAAATAAAAGTGACAAGCCATCCTATTTGTGCCCTCTATAAAAGGCTAATGAAATCTTTCATCTCCCTCCTCACAGTATTACATTAAAAGGCTTTGGAAAAGAGAGTTTTCTCTCTCTTTTTCTTTAAACTGTTCCTCTCTTTCTATAAAAAGTAAAAACCGTGGTAGTAAAAATGTATAGGAGGAACTTCAGCTTCTTCTTCTTCTTCCTCCTCATGGTATGTGTGTGGAGCTGGAGAATGGAGTTTCCGGAAGCTCAAATGGTGCCGGCGGTTTATGTATTGGGGGACTCATTGGTGGATGTGGGGAACAACGACCACCTTCCTGTTTCGTTCGCCAAGGCCAATTTCCCTCCCAACGGCGTCGATTTCCCCACCAAGAAACCAACCGGCAGATTCTGTAATGGCAAAAATGCTGCAGATTTGATTGGTAAGTACAGATTAAACTTGAACTTTTAGAGATACAGATAAATAGATTCACATTGAATGAATGAATGGATGGTTGAAATATTTTTGAGTTCCAAAGTAACAAAGAGCTGCTGCTGCTCCATGCACTGCACTTCCTTTTGTTTTTGGCGACATGGATTAATTAATTTTTCAATATCATCTACCTTTTGTTGCCAAGTTATGGCAGTCACGTTTCAGTTTCTAAAAATAATACGAGAATAAATATATATACCTATATAATATAATACACTTCATATATGTTATTAATCAGTGAATATCTAAAATATTCAAGATATTGAACTAATTAAAATATGCTAAAATTGAATTTAATTTAATAGATAATATTCGTAGTATTTTAGATTTTTGTCACTTTAAAAAATTAATTAATTTTTTAAAAATATATCTTATTATTAAAATGTTAAAGGAGTGAAACTTGTAGATGTATATAATATAAAATTATTATCCAAGTATGGAAGTAACGTCTCAGTTAATTCTATGTTTCTCCTTCTCCTTTTCGTGTACATTTTTTATTCATCTTTGACTGCAAAGTTAGAAAATTCAAATTATTAGTAATTGGTAAAACTAACCGTAATAACAGAAATAATAAAAACATAATTGGTAAAACTAACCGTAATAACAGAAATAATAAAAACATGACAAGATAGCATAAAAAATACTATTATCATATATAAATATAAACTACAATTCGAGAATACTCTATTACTGATATAAAATATTAATAAAAATTAATATAACTCAAATAAATTAGAAATTCATTGTGGGACTGTACTTTTGTATATGCTTTATTTACATATAAATATATTGGGTAACATTTGATTTCTGTGTAATGATTTGAGCAGCTGAAAAATTAGGGTTATCAAGTTCACCGCCCTATTTCTCTGTCGGACACAAATAATGCTTCCTTCATAAACGGTGTTAGCTTCGCCTCCGGTGGTGCCGGAATCTTCAACGGCACCGATCGCATTTTGTAAGTGAACGTGACGAATGTGGATCGAACACGTAATTTCAAAATTTACTTTTCTAAATATATCAGCACAACAGGGTCAGGCAATACCTTTGTCGAAGCAAGTGGACAGCTATTTGGAAGTGCACAAACGTTGGTGCAGCAGATGGGAAATTCAGATGCAGAAAATCACTTTTCGAAATCACTTTTTATTATTATTATAGGCAGCAATGACCTTTGATTACTTTGGATCTTCCGATCTTAGAGAGAAAAATACTCCCCAACAATTCGTGGACTTGATGGCCAGCACCTAAAAGAACTGCTCAAGGTATAACTAACTATTTTTTTTTTCTTAATCTACTCTGTATTTGTGTACTTCGATACCTTAAATTTCACTTTTGGCAGAGACTGTACGAGTTCGGCGCACGTAAATTCTTTTTGGCTGGTATAGGGGGCATAGGGCATTCCTTCCGAAAGAGTTAAAAATGAAACCCAAGAATGCAATGAAGAACGTAATTCTGGGCTGTTAAGTACAACGAAGGGCTAAAGGCAATGTTGAATGGGTTAAAATCAGAGCTTCAAGGCATAACTACTCTTACTTTGATACGTACACTATCATGCAAATATCATCCAAAACCCATCTACCTACGGTAATATAATATATAATCTGTAGTGTTTCGAATTTTCCTTAAGCTTTGTTTTATCATATTTTGATTGTGTTGCATGCAATTGCAGGGTTCAGTGAGATAAAGTCTGCTTGTTGTGGACTTGGCGATTTGAGAGCTGAAGTTGCTTGTGTGCCGATCTCGAGATATTGCTCCAACAGGAAAAATCATGTTTTCTGGGACCTTTATCATCCGACGGAGGCTACGGTTCGCATTTTTGTGGATACTTTTGATGGTTCTTCCCCAGTTTGTGTTCCCATGAATCTTAGGCAACTAGTTTCAGCTTAAGCCTTTGCTTATATAGCAAAAATAATAATAACGAAACATGTTGGGTATTAAACACTAGTAGTTGAAAAAAAAATCATATCAATGTAAGAAGATAGATAATTTAGAAGAATAAAGATTCAAGTTAAAAATTCTGTTTGGTTGCTGTGAAAATCTGAGAAAAAGATTCAAATTTTTGTAGTTTGTTTTCTGATTTTTGGCTTTCATTGTTTTGATTTCCGTATCTTCAGTGATTTTTCCCATCATCCAAGCAGAGCAGAATCAGTTGTTTATTCCAATCGGCTTTATAACACCTCAATCTTCCATTATTCATTGCCCGTTTGCTTAATTAAGAAATTCCAGAACATTCAATTCATGCAACCGCATTTAACTGAATTTTATTATTTAACTGTTATCTTGTTACATTGGTATATCTCTTATTTTCCTAAGGTATTAGTGTCTGATATCAGACATGTTTCAATAACCTTCTAAATTCATGAAAAAAAGGAACATAATCATATTGAACATATACTCATATAAGCACTCTCACACTCCTCGAAATCTTTTTCTTCTCTTGCTATAAGCAGAGGCTTAAGCTGAAACTAGTTGCCTAACATTCATGGGAACACAGACTGGTGAAGAACCATTAAAAAGAGTATCCGCAAAAATGCGAGCCGTTGCCTCTGTCGGGTGATAAAGGTCCCAAAAAACATGATCTTTCCTGTTGGAGCAATATTTCGAGATCGGCACACAAGCAACTTCAGCTCTCAATTTGCCGAGTCCGCAACAAGCAGACTTTATCTCAGTGAACCCTGCGTGCAACATAATCAAAATAAGGTAATCTTTTTTCTCTCTCTCTTTTAAACAAAGTTAAGGAGAACTAGAAACACATAAAGATTATATCTTATATTACCGTAGGTAGATGGTTTTTGGATGATATTTTGCATGATAGTGTACGTATCAAAGTAAGAGTAGTTCATGCCTTGAAGCTCTGATTTTAGCCCATTCAACATTGCCTTTAGCCCTTCGTTGTACTTAACAGTCCAGAAATTACGTCTTCGTTGCATTCATGGGTTTCGTTTTTAACTCTTCAGCAGGAATGCAGCCTATGACCCCTATGCCAGCCAAAAAGAATTTACGTGCACCGGATTCGTACATCTCTGCCAAAACAGTGAAATTAAGGTAATGAAGTACAAAAA